TTGCTGTCAAGAATTTTTTCCTGATGTCCAATCACAATTTGCTCTCTTCCAGATTGTGGCCATTATTTGTAGTAAACATCATATCCCCTATTTCTTGCTGGGCCCCCCTCATGAGTTCATAGGCAGGCACGAGATCACCTCTCACCCTCCTCTTGTAGAGGCTGAAGAGGTTCAGGTCTCCCAATCGGTCCACGTAGGGGTTTTTTCTGTAGGCCTTTAACCAGACGAGTGGCCCTCCCGTGAACCCTCTCCAGGCCATCCACATCCCTCCTGAAGTGCGGTGCCCAAAACTGGATGCAGTACTCCAGCTGCGGCCTAACCAATGCCACATAGAGGTGAAGTTTCACCTCCCTAGACCTGTTTGCGATGCACCTACTTATGCAAGAAAGGGTTAGCTTTCATAGATTTAATAGATTTCATAGACATTAGGGCCGTCAGGGACCTTGGACGATTGAGTCCAGCCCCCTGCCCCAGGGGCAGGAAGTCAGCAGGGATCATAGGATCCCAGCAAGATAAATATCCAGATGACTTTTGAAGGCATTCAGAGTAGGTGCTTGAGCCACCTCTGGTGGCAATCTATTCCAAACCTTGGGGGCTCGGACAGCAAAGAAGTTCTTCCTTTGCTTATTATCTTATCACGCTGGTGACTCATGTTCATTTTGGAGTCTACTATGACTCTGAGATCCCTTTCCACAGTTGTGCTACTTAAAGTGGTACCTCCCAGGCTATAGGATGATTCTTCCTCCCCAGGTGCAACACATGACACATCCTTGTTAAACTGCATCTATTCTGTTTGGCCCATTTCCCCAGCCTGTCCAAATCAGCCTGGATTTGCTCCCTGCCATCTAGTTTGTTTACCTTCCCCCACATAGTTTGGTGTCATCAGCAAACTTGGACAGGGTGCTTTCTACTCCCTGATCCAAGTCACTAATGAAGATATTGAATAGTACCGGTCCCAAGAAGGAGCCTTGGGGGACTCCACTGCCCACATTCCTCCAGGTAGAAACCGATCTGTCCACCACCACTCTCTGGATACGGCCCATAAGCCAATTTTCTACCCACCGGACTGTAACAATCTACATTGCAACTGTTTAGTTTATTTATAAGAATTGGGTGTGACACTGTTTCAAAGGCCTTTTTAAAATCTAAGTAAATAACATCTACCTCTCTTCCTTCATCCAAGCATTTTGTGACCCACTCATAAAATGAAACCAGGTTATTCAGGCAGGATCTGCCTGCTATGAACCCATGCTGGCTGCCCCTTAGCATTATTTTACCTGCTGGTCCCCCGCGAAGGTGATCCTTAACAGTTTTCTCAAAGGTCTTGTCAAGGATAGAGGTGAGACTAACAGGCCTATAGTTACCTGGTTCCTCCTTCCTCCCCTTCTTGAAAATAGGGACCACATTGGCCCTTTTCTAATCCTCCAGGACCTGTCCTGAGCACTACGAGTGCTCAAATAGTCGTGCCAGTGACTCCATTATGATTCCAGCTAATTCCCTAAGTACCCTAGGATGAAGATCTTTGGGGCCTGTTGACTTAAATACATTCAGCCCCTCCAGGTGCCCCTTTACTAGGTCAGCATGAATAGTTGGTGGGTTGGTATCTATACTGAGCTTACCTAAAGTCCCAATGGGATGCATATTTGTATTAGTGTCCAGGAACATGGATGCAAAGAAATCATTTAGAAGCTCCGCTTTGGCCATCCTATCAGTTACCAGTTGCCCTAGTTCATTCTGAAGGGGCCCTAAGTTACCCTGCACCTTCTTTTTGCTTCCTATATACTAAAAAGTTTAATTTTTCTTATCCTTAACTTTTGCTGCCAGCCTAAGCTCCATTTCTGCTTTGGCTCTCCTCACTTTCCCTGCAAGCTCAAGCCAAGCAGGTATATTCCTCCTTGGTAGCAGCCCTCTGCCTCCACAGCCTATAGGCCTCTCTTTTCTCCTCCAGGCTCTCCTGGATTTCCCTGCTCAACCAAAAGGGTTTCTTTGCCCCCTTTATGTGTACTGGGACGGTCCTTTTCTGTGCCTCCAGGATTAGTCCCTTGAGAAATACCTAACCTTCCTGGACTCCCATCTCTCCAAGGCTTTTACCAGTCAGTCCCTCCCTAACTGATCTCCTGAGATTGTTGAAGTTGGCCTTCCTGAAGTCTAGCACTTCCGCCCTACTAGTTATCTTCCCCACCTTTCTCCAGATAGTGAACCCTATCAATAGGTGATCATTTTACCCTAGGTTACCTTGTACCTGCATATCCCCCACCAAGTCGTCCCCTGTGGCCAGCACCAAGTCTAGTAAGGCATTTCCCCTAGTGGGAAAGTGTACCTCCTGCGATAGGTGAAAGTCCTCTAAGGAGGTTAGAAAATTTCATGAACAGGCAGACCTGGCTGCCTGTTTCTCCCAGCAGATGTCTGGGAAGTTTAAGTCACGCGGGATGACCAGGTCCTTTGAGTGCACTGCCTCTGAGAGCTGTCTCGAGAATTCTAGGTGTAACACGTCCCCCTGGTGTGGGGGTCTGTGGTAGATCCCCACTACCAAGTCCCCTTCACCTCAACGCCCCTGTAACCTGACACACAGTACCTCAATCTGCCCTTCTTCTTGGCCCAATTTAACTACGGAAGATGTATATTGCTCCTTAACAAAGAGAACAGTGCTCCCCACCACCTTTTTTCTCCACTCTGTCCTGTCTGTACAGCCTGTAGCCCTCAATGTCCACTGCCCAGTCATGGGTAGGATCTCATTAAGTTTCTGTTAGCCCAACCAGGTCGAGTTCTTTATTGGCAAGCGGGAGTGCAAGTTCCTACTGCTTGTTCCCCATGCTCCTAGCATTAGTATAGAGGCATCTAAGCCCCCAGTAGGTGTCCTTGCTACTTCCCCATTCTGATGCTTAGTGGGGCCCTTGGTACTTACCTGGACTGTTCCAGCGCCTGGCTTGAGGTTCATTGTTCCTGGCCTCTCTCTGTCGTTAACATCCCCGTCCCCCAATGAACCTAGTTTAAAGTCCAGCATATGAGATCAGCCAACCTGGAAGAGAAGAGACTCTTACCTCTTGGAGAGAGATGTAGCCCATCTCGTCCAAACAAGGCTTTATCCTGGAAGTGCAGGTCGTGGTCAAAGAATCCAAACCCCACATGATGGCACCAGCTCCGAAGCTGGAAGTTGATCTCTCTGATGCAATTGCTGTGGTGCTGTCCTCGACCGCTGACTGGTAGGATGGATGAGAGGACCACCTGTGCCCCCGAACCTCTGAGCCTGGCTCCCAGTGCCATGTAGTCACCTGTGACCCCGCCTGAACTACTCTGGGCTGCATCATTCGTTCCTACATGGATGAGGACCATGGGATAGTAGTCGGAGGGCCTAATCAGGTCTGGAATCCTCGTTGTGATGTCTCGAATGAGGGCTCTGGGCAGGCAGCATACCTCCTGTACTGTGGGATCTAGGTAGCAGATGGCTCCTTCCGTTCCTCTCAGGAGGGAGTCGCCCACCACAGTGACCCAACGTCTTCTCCTCCAGCTGCACGGTTCTCTCTTAGCTTGCTTGGTGGTGGCTGTGAGAATGGCCTCCATTGCTGCGCTCTGCCAGTGATGCCAGGGCCTCATCTGTTCTTCAGCTGCACCAAGGGAGTCACCCTGGCCTTGTGATGTCTAGCCCTCGAGGTGACTGTCTGCCATCCAGCTGCATCGACTCCTTCCTGTGACTCCTTCCCTCCAGGCGTGTGAACCTGCAGAGAATGGAAGTACTCATCGATCTCCTCAATCACCCTGATCCCCCACAGGCTGCTCACCTCTGCCTGGAGTTCCCTTACCTGCCCCTCCAGATCCTCAGTCTGGGCACATGTGGGACAGGTGAGGGAAGTCCTGGCCCTGACATTACCCCTGGGCATCGAGGGCCTGCCAGGCAACCCCTGCAGGCAGGGGGCCCGGGTGCCACCAACCCACCCAATGGCTTTTTCTGGGTGGAGGCCTCAGTGGAGCCCCAGGCAGGAGGCAGCATCAGGGCAGGGTCCCTGGCTGCGCTCTGACTCGCCACCCCCATTAAAGAGTCCTCAAGTGCACTCACCTGAAGACTCTGTCCAAAGCCGCCAGCTTCGACACGTTGAGTCTCAGGCCCCTCCTGCTCTCTCCCCTACGCGAACTCCTGTGCATCTAAGTAGGGATGGGAGGGGAGGAAAACCCCTTCCCAATTCCCTAGAGCTGGCCCAGCTTGGCTCTTCTGTCCCCCTCCCTGCCCGGCTTACCTTATTGCTGCTGCTGGCTCCTTGCTGCTCTGCTTGGTGGGGTCAGGGGAGCCGAGGGCACCTGTGCACTGGTGCACACATGTACTTGCTTTGACATCCAGGTCCCATTAATGTATCTGTACCTTAGAATCAAACACATTCCTGTTAGAGTAAATTACATACATAGGTTAAACTGAGGATCCCCAATCTGTGGCCTATAGGTTGGATCCAACCACCGCAAGGCTTTGGCCCACCTTGCAACAATAACTGAATACCAGCCAAGTAGCAAGAAACAAAGCGTCAAAACAAAAGCACAGACAGACAGGTGGTAGGGATTGGGATGGAGGTGTCACACATTCATATTAAATTTGAATCCTTCAATACGGTTTATTAAAACAAGAGCTTAATGGCAAGATTTACGCTACCTTAAGCTATTTTGGGGAGCAAAAGTCTTCATATTCTGCAAAATTGAGTCCCAAAGCTTGATTTTATTGTGGTAAGCCATGCTGTCTAATCTTCAGGGTTTCAATTCTAGAGTTGTCAGTTAAATAACAAAACACCTGTGTGGCAAATACTACATTTTTACATGATCAGTTAGTTGATTCAATGTACACTAACTTTTGTTATAAAATGGATTTCCATCAAAAGACTTTTCAGCTTCACTTTGTATTGTATCTTCAGAGTCTAAATACTTTATTAGGCTTATTTTTGTCTTTACATAAACTTTAATAAAAGCGCCCATCCTGTCATCTGTAGAGTTGTGCATTATGGGTATTAGATTTAGCCTTGCACGCTTTTTAGTTTCTTTGTTGCTTTTCTTGCTCTGCAGGAGTAGCAAGCATGTTGTATAATGTAGGTGAGGTTTTGAATTACCTACACTAAATGGATTTTTCTCCATTGCTAGAAATTTATTCTCTGTGGTCAGGAAGAAGTAAGTTTTAAGAACTCTGTGTGGCAAAGTTCAAAGTTCTGCTTTCAAAGTTTTGAAAGCAGAACAATCTGCATGCCAGTTTATGAACCCGTTGGATATAAATGTCACCTTTTGTATACTTGTTTTGGAAGTTTTTGTGTAAATGCATCTGTATGTGTAGTTCCTTTAACCTCTTATTTGTTTCTTCAGGCACTGTTGAAGTTAAAGCACCTCCGAAGATAGTTGATACAGGGGGAGGATTCTTTCTGGAGGAGGAAGAGAAGGACAAGGTTCAGAAAACTGTGCATCCTTCAGGTAAATTCAGTTGTCTTTGCAGAAAGTGACTCTAATGATCATAGTTAGTATAAGCCATCTACTAAAATAAGCAGCACGCTAGCTGGAGAGAATTTACCGAAGTCAGTAATAGTTTCAATGAAATTTGAACTGTTTGTTCAACCAACTATTTGTTGGTTGATGTTAACAACTGTCAAATGGTGTGGAAGGGTGAAATTAATTAAAATCCTTGGGTCATTCAAACCAATGTGGGAAGTTTATTGATTAATTGCTGAAGCAAAGTTAGTGCCATGGATAGGCGGAATCTTACGGAATGAGTCTTGACTACTGCGAACAGCAGGTCTGGCTGGCAAACAGCACAGCAGGCATCACGTAGAAGTTACCAAGTTCTCTCCCAGCCTATACCCGCTATTTATATGTAGCTGGTAAACATAATCTAAGTATTCTAATAAATTATCTTTGATTGGTTTTACTTAAATGTCTGTTTTACTGAAACTTCTGGAACCAGATTACACTAAATTTCTTATGGGCCAAGAAGGTGGCAATTAGTTAAAATTTATATTTTTGAGAAAGTAACAGGGCAATAGGGAGGATTTCTTTTCTTTTCTTCCCATGGTAGGAAGCTGTTCTAGCCCTGGCTAACGAGGCTGCCTTGTTCTTACTGATTGTGTCCAATTAGACAGACAGACAGTTTTGTTTGCTCTGCTGACCAAGCCAGCCACAGCATCTGCAAATATTCATATTAATGGTACGTCACTCAAAGATAGGGTTCAGGCCTATCATGTGGAGGTGCACTGATATATCGGTTGCCTATCGGATTGGCACTGATAAAGTAAAATGACATTATCCGCTTTTTTTTGGCCATTGCAGCCAATAATGCTTATCAATAATTATGCCTTCTGGCTAGGGCCCTGCACACCTGGGTTCCCTCTCCGCCACCGGGTCAGGGCCCCTGGATGCCTGGGTTTTCCTGGGGAGACAGTGGGTTTCCCCTTGCAAGTGGGCAGCATTCTAGCCTGCAAGGGGTCCTGCCTGGGGCTGCTGGGAGTGGGATGCAGGGGGCCCACATGCATGTGTGCAGCAAACCATTTGCAGCTCCATGCCAGGACTTTGTCACTGTGTAATGTTTGGGGCTTAAGGAGCCTTCAGTCCTGCTGCTGTGGAGGCTCCAATATTTAAAGTGTTCATAGATGGATCTATGCTTCCAGTATCACTACATGTGCAATTAGAAACTTCACTGAAGTATTGTCCAAATAAAATAGTTTAGGCTTTGACTAATTGGAATTTTATCTTAAAAGTCTAAAACTCAATGGTAGTGCTTGGTGTGAAAGATGCTGCACACGTATAGTTTCTAGTGTAAAATTAAAATTAGGAATACAGCATACTTTCCTAGATATGTTTGCTATAAATATGTGTCTACGCTGACTAGAGGTGCACCAATACATAGGTCCAATATCAGATCGGCGCTATTATAAAGAAAATTGACTATATCGGAAATTGGCCCAATGTGGCCAGTAATTTGGCCAATAAATGCCTGTGTGCATGCGCAGCCACAGTGCAGCATGTAGGCATCAAGGAGTGCAGCCTGGCAGCTTGGAGAGCTGTGTGCAGCTGGTAAGTCTGTTGTGGTGGGAGGGGAGGGGCAAATCAAGGCTCCCGCAATAAGGGAGGGAGTGGGGCTGGGGCTGGGGCTGCGCAGCCAGGGGGGTCAGGCATAGGACAGAGCTGTGTCTTGTCTGGGGGGCACAGGGAGGGGGGTGTGACTCCTGCTGCTGTGTGCACCTCAGGAGGGCCTGAGGGGTGTGGGTCGTGTGTCCCTGGATCTGTGTGGGGTGGGCTGCAGCTGCGGGCTGGGGCCGGGGCTGTGCCAGGCTCTTCCTGGCACGTGGTAAGGTCAGGGTTGGGCCAGGCTGCACTTGGGGTGGGTGGTAGCAGTGCTGAGAGGGGAGGCTATGGGGGGGCTACAGCAAAATTTGGGGTGGCTGCAGTGCCTCCATAA